CGGCGGCAGGTCTGCGAGGAGACCTTCCAGCGCATCGCCACGTCCTGCGAGTGAGGGGGCAGCCTTTGCGCGGGCAGGGGATTGAGCAGGGGGATGGCCACGGGGATGGGCACCTATACGGGGATGGGTTTGGTGATGGACACCAGCACGGGCAATGGGACAGGCATGAAGATGGGCACCAAGAGCAGGAGGACCTGGGGAGAAGCTTGGAGATGGGTGTGGGCACAGGGATGAGCTTGGGGCTGGGAATGGGAATGGTAACAGGCAGGAGGACAGCAACTCTGTCACTGGAATGGGTTTGGGGACCGGCACCATCCCTGCAATGGGCTTGGGGATGGGCACCAAGAGCAGGAGAACCTGGGGAGAAGCTTGGAGATGGGTGTGGGCAGAGGGATGAGCTTGGGGCTGGGAATGGGAACGGGCAGGGGGACAGGAACTCTGTCACTGGGATGGGTTTGGGGACTGGCATCATCCCTCGATGGGCATGGGAATGGGCACCAGGAAGGACCTGGGAACAAGACATGGAGGACATGGATGGGCACCACCCCTGGGACAGATATAGGGATGGGCACCAGGAAGGACCTGAGGACAACCTTGGGGACAAACACAGGGGACTGACACGGGAACAAGCATGGTGGGCACCACGTCCCACAGCACATCATGGTGGCACGTGGGGGGGTTCCAGGACCACCAGCTTGCCCCAGCCCCACCAGATGTCTCTCTCCCCACAGCGCCTTCCCTGCAGAGTTGGGCGAGATCTTCGCGGCGTGGCAGGAGGAGTGCGCAGCGCGGGGCAAGGCACCCATTGGGCAGCGCCTGGTCTCGGCCTCCCTCTTCCTACGGTTCCTCTGCCCTGCCATCATGTCCCCCAGCCTCTTCGGCCTCGTCCAGGAGTACCCGAGCGAAGCCACCGCCCGTACCCTCACCCTCGTGGCCAAGGTCATCCAGAACTTGGCCAACTTCACCACGTATGTCATGGCAGGGCACGGCACTGGTAATGGTGGGGAGGGACATCCCTATGGGGAAGCTCCAAGGGCAGTGGGAACATCTCCTACGTGCTGTGTGGCACATGCCATGGACAGTCATGGGACAGTAGGGTTGTCCCCACCATACCATGGAGCAGCAGGGATGTCCCCAACATGCCACGGGGCAGGAGGGACACCTCCTTCATGCCATGAACCAGCCATGGGGCAGCAGGGATATCTCCACCCCATGCCTGGGGCTGGCGTGTCCCAGCAGCAGAGCCTCACATGTCACCTGTGGTGGCCTGACCCATGGGTGGCTTGGTCCAAGAACGTGGCAGTGTCCTCACCCTTGTAGACAGGGTGGTGACATGGCACAGGGACATCACAGTGACTTGGTCGATGATCCTGGAGGTGGCCCATGACCATGGTGGTGGCCCAGGCCATCGCCTGGCCCCCCAGGTAACCAGACATCGTGGTCCCCAGGTTTGGCGAGAAGGAGGCCTACATGGGCTTCATGAACGAGTTCTTGGAGCACAACTGGAGCACCATGACAGCCTTCCTGCAGAGCGTGGCCAACCCCGAGAGCAGCGTCCACATGGCCACCTACGATGGCTACGTGGATCTGGCCCTGGAGCTCGCTACTCTCCACCTCCTGCTCTGTGACATCTTCTCCAGCCTGGATCAGGTGCCACCACCCATTTGTCCCAAAGGGTAGCTGGCAAGACTGGCCACCTCCTCCTCCCTATGCACAGAGCTGGTGTCCACTGCCCCATGGATGGCACAAGGCCATCCATTGTCTCCATAATGTCCTTGTCTCATCCCGGCAGGCCACACAGGAGGAGCTGGAACCCCTGCCCACCATCCTCACCGCCATCAGGGAGGGGACCCCTGTCCCCGTCTCTGTCCGGCTCAGCTCCACCACGGAGCAAAGGTACTGGTGGGTGGACAGGGACACACATGGGACCAAGGTGGACATGTGGGGCCAGGTGGGGCCAGGAGGAGCTGGGTGACACTAGGAGGGGTTTGGGGTGGTTCTTGTCCTGGCTGGGTTCAGGGGATGGTTCTGGTCTTAGTTGGGTTTAAGGAGATTCTGGGCCAGAATTGTCTTGGAGTCACTGATCCCAGCTGGGTTCAGGGGATGGTTTTGAGTAGGTGTTTCTAGTCCCAGATGGACTTAGGGGGGCAGTTCTGGTCCTGGCCAGGTTCAGGGTGGTTCTGGTCCCACCCGGCTTTGGGGTGACTCTGGTTGTAGCTGGGTTTCAGGTCAAGGTTGGTTTTGAGGATGGTTCTGGTCCCAGTTCAATTTGGGGGATGTTTCTGGTCCCAACTGTTTTTGAGCATGGTTCTGGTTCCAGCTGGGTTTGGGGGATGTTCCTGGTCCCAGATGGGTTTGAGGTGCTTCAGGTCCAGGTTGATGGGTCCGATCCCAACCAGGTTTGGGATGTTTCTGGTCCTGGTTGGGTTCGGGGTGGTTCTGGCCCCTCCTGGGTCTGGCACCGCCCCGGTACCCGCCCGTGCCATCGCCCCATCTCCCCTTGCAGCCCGGCAGAGAGCTTCAAACCAGGCTTTGTGCCACCACGGGACCTGAGCAAGCACAGCCCCCTCATCAAGAGTCAATCT